CTTTCCTGCCCAGGTGTACTTCCAAACAGGATCCTCAGGTCTTAGCCTCCTGAGTAGCTAGGATTATAGGTGGGAGCCACTGGTGCCTGGCTTCAGTGTGTTTATTTCTCTTATGTTCTTAGTCAGCCAGGTTTAGGGCCAGACTGCTTCTGCATCCCCCCCCCCACTTAGATCTGTTTAAAAGTCCTGCCCTCCTCCTTCTCAACTTACTTTGGCCCCTCCCTGATTAGTTACCAGCACTTGATGACTGATTTTCTTGCTGTCAGTCATACCTTCCACTCCCCCTGAGGAATAAATTATTCTTAGGAAGATACTCCTTGACTCACTCTGGAAACCTGTCAGCAATTCTCCAGTCATTAGCAAATAAAGTAATGTGCCCTGGGCCTGACTGGCGCTTCTTTTTTCTTTTTAACTTTTGCAGTACTGGTGTTTAAACTAAGGGTGTCCTGACTGCTGGGCAGGGGCACTCTACCACTTGAGCCAGGCCTCCAGGCCTGTGTCTGTGCACACACACACTTCTGTGCACTGATACTAGAACTTAAAGCCTTCTGTGCTTAGATTTTTTTCTTCCAAAACCTGGTGCTCTACCACTTGAGTCATACCTCCAGTCCAGGTTTTTTCTGATTGGAGTTTTCAGTTGGCTTTGACCCACAATCCTTAGATGTTAGCCTTTCAAGTGTCCCAGATTACAGGTAGCACCTGACTAGTGGGGTGCTTTCTGAGATGTTCAAGGACAATACAGTGAATCAGTGGCCGCCTAAAAGAAGTGGAGGTTGGAAGGTGGTGAGGTATTGGAGGCAACACCTACCAAAGGGGCTGTGAAGTCTGGTCATGAGGGGTGGTGGAAGCTGGGACTCAGGTTCACCCTGAGCATGGTGGGAGGAGGGAGGCTTTGAGCACAGTGGCAGAGTGTGGCAAGTCAGATGCAATTTGTCTTTATAGTCTCTCTCTGGCCGCCTGGGGAGGGGCTGAGGCCGTGGACATAATCCAGGCCAGAATGATGTAGGATGGATAAGTAGCATGCAGTACACTCATAGGATGGAATATTACTCAGCCCTAAAAAGTGAAGCCCTGATAATGGTAATGAACCCCAAGAATGGGATGCCAAGGGAGAGAGAGAGCCTGACAAAAGGGCTTCTGCTGTATGATGCCATTTATATGAAATGCCAGAACATGGAAATCCAGAGACAGGCAGTACAGGAGTGCCGGGTGGCAGCATGGTTACAGGGTGCAGAAGTGCGCGTGCGCGTGTGCGTGTGCGCATGTGCGCACATGCATTCTGGTCCTAGAGTTTAGAACCAGAAGCTAAGAGCTTTTCCTTAGGCTTTTTCTTTTTTTTTTTGTTACTACATAGGTGAGGTTCAGGGGGTTCAGTTAAATAAGTCAGGTAAAGAGTACTTTTCTTTTTGGCCCATGTCACCCTGTCCCTAGCTCTCACCCAGTTTTTCCCTTCCGTCCCTTCCACTGGTTATATATAGCACATTTTCAGCATAATCCCTTGGCTTTTTTGCTCATCAAGGTTGGTGCTCTGCCACTGGATCAGGACTCCACTTCTAGCTTTTTTTGGGGGGGAGGGGTCAGTCGTGGGGCTTGAACTCGGCCTGGGCGTGAGGTAAGCGCTCTTATCCATTGAACCATGGCCCTCACACTTTTTGCTTTATTTAGTTTTCAAATCAAGTCTCACGTTTTTACCTGCACCCTAAGCCCTGTTGATGTGATGCACCCACGCTTAGTTCATAGGTTGAAATGTAATTTTGATGACCTTTTACCCAGCCTGTCCTCTCGACTATAATCCTTCTGATCTCTTCTGCCTCTCGAGTAGCTGAAATTACAGGTGTGACCCACCATGCCTGTCTTGGTGAATTTGATAGCAAGTACATATCTCAGTAAAGCTGTTTTAAAGAGAGGGTGGTGGTGGCAGCCTGGGGACAGGTGGCTGCCTGGGTGAGGAGTGGGGGGGAGGGGTGCAGGCTGAGACTGCCTTGACATGAGCAGTCTGAGATCCGACGCTGGCTGGCTCCAGGGGGAAGCTGGGGTCTTGCTCCACAGCCCCCGGTCTCTGGTCCTACCCCTCGCAGATCTGGGGGGGCCGGTGGGTGGTGGGATGGAGCTCGGCCCCGCCCTGCCCCCTTGATCACGGGTCCCGCCTCCCCAGGACCATGGCAGAGCAGGACGTGGAGAATGAGCTTTTGGATTACGAGGAGGATGAAGAGCCCCAGGCCCCTCCGGAGAGCACCCCTGCTCCCCCCAAGAAGGACGTCAAGGGCTCCTACGTGTCCATCCACAGCTCGGGCTTCCGGGACTTCCTGCTGAAGCCCGAGCTGCTCCGGGCCATCGTGGACTGCGGCTTCGAGCACCCGTCGGAAGGTACGCGGGAGCCGGGCCTGGCCCGCCGGCCTCGCCGCGTCCCGCGGGCCCTCACCCGCCCTTCCCCCCCCAGTGCAGCACGAGTGCATCCCCCAGGCCATCCTGGGCATGGACGTCCTGTGCCAGGCCAAGTCCGGGATGGGCAAGACCGCCGTGTTCGTACTGGCCACCCTGCAGCAGATCGAGCCGGTCAGCAGCCAGGTGTGTGCGCGTGTGCGTGCGCGCCCGCGGCGGGCACCCCGGGAAGGGGGGGCTCCGGCCCACGCGCTGTGCACATCGCGTTGCTGGATGACCTGGGGGGGAGGGCAAGGCCGGCCCTCTCCCTGCTCCTGACGGCTCCTGCTGCGCTGGCCTGAGCAGGCAGTGCCGGCCCCCGCAGGTGAGCCCCGCCTCACGGCCCCGCCCCCCCCAGGTGGTGGTGCTGGTCATGTGCCACACGAGGGAGCTGGCCTTCCAGATCAGCAAGGAGTACGAGCGCTTCTCCAAGTACATGCCCAGCGTCAAGGTGAGTGGGCCCACCGCCCCGCCCGGCTGCCCCCGCGGCCCCGCCCCGCCGCCCTGGCCCCGCCCCCTTTTACCAGGCTTGGCTCCAGCCACTGCCTTCGAGGTTTGTGGTGGTTTATGCGCCTTAAAAGCCTGCTGAATTATGCATGGCCTCCGGGGCCGCGCTCCATGCCCGCTGCACCCGCTTCGCTCCGGTCCCCGGAGACAGCGCGGTGGAGCGCTCGGCCGCCCCGGCCCGTGCCATCCACGCCCTCGGGGACATGGCCTGAGCCATCCCCGTGCCTGGCACGCATGTGGATGGTGAAGCAGCTCCCTCGGGGCCCCCAGGTGTCCGTGTTCTTCGGGGGCCTCTCCATCAAGAAGGACGAGGAAGTGCTGAAGAAGAACTGTCCGCACGTGGTGGTGGGGACGCCGGGCCGGATCCTGGCGCTCGTGCGGAACCGAACCCTCAACCTGAGGAACGTGAAGCACTTCGTGCTGGACGAGTGTGACAAGATGCTGGAGCAGCTGGGTGGGTGTCCGCGCCCCGGGCGGCGCTGGGGCGTCGGGGAGGCCGGG